TTTCTCAGATAGTTTTGTGGATAAAATGAGCTCCAATTTCAAAGTATTTAGTTCACGGAAAGTATTCAGTGAATGAAGATTTTCTTTTTTTCATTCCTTCATATTTACAGTACTTATAATGAGAGTAAAGAGAAAATGGAAGCACTTAGAACAGTGCTGGAAAATTGTAAATGTTCAATAAATGTTAATTATCATAACGATTATATAGTCATTTAAAATAATAAAGTATATCTGTAGATATTGATATGTATGGAAACAGCTCCAAAATATATTGGTTGAAAACAGCCAGAACAGATTGGAGGGGACGGAATGGGTAAAGGAGATCAAAAGGTACAAACTTCTACTTATAAAATTTATAAAATAAGTCTCAGGGATCATGGTGACTATAGTTAATAGTGTATCGTATATTTGAAAATCGCTAAGTAAATCTTAAAAGTTCTCATCACAAGAAAAAAAAATGTAGCTACATGTGGTGATGCATGTTGACTAAACTTATTGTGGTGATCACTTTGCAATAAATACAAATAACGAATCATTATGTTGTAAACCTGAAACCAATATATGTCTATTATACCTCAATAAAATTTTTAAAATTTTTTAATTAAAAAAAGAAATAAAATAATAGTATCTAACATTTACTTCTGTCTTTCCTACTAGTCCATGGTCTTGGACAATTTACCTAACTTCCTGTGCCTCTGTTTTCTCATCTGTAGAATGGAGATAATAATAATTATATCTACCTCATTAAGGGGGTTGTGAAAATAGGTGATATGATGTAAAACACCTAGGATAGTACCTGGCACAGAGCAGGCTGCTACATTCATGTTAGCTACTATTGTTTTTAAGCAATACTGGGTGCCAGGATTGTCAGTGCTTCTGTAGAGTGACACCCCTACAGCCCACTCATGAAGAACAGCGAATGTCGACTTCCATGTAAACGGTGCCTCCTGTGGTTGCCTGGAGTCCCCTGGCAGGAAGGCCTCTTCACATGCCTGTTCCTACTTCCCATTTACTCCTCATGACACACCTGGAGGTAGATACTATGGGACCACAATACCTACGAGACAACTGGGGGGCAGATGTTTTCAGAATTCAGAATTTTGTTTGGCTTTTATAAAAGCAATGCAGTGCATCTATTACAGAACATCCAGCAGAGTCACCCTCGGTTGGAAAATAATGACTATAAATAACATCGGATCAGTTCAGGCCAAATGAGTTCATCTCAAACTTAGAAAAAAATCTCTCCATTTATGATGTTTTTTGGATTACAGAATTGTGGATAAGTGTGCATAGGAATTGGTTTCTGCATTTATATAGGAGGAAACTAAGGATTAGAGAGAGACGAATCTGCCAAACATCCCACCACCAGCGAGTTACAGAGTTAGGAGTCAGACTCAGATAGTCTGATGCTAAATTTCTTCATCCGAATTTCTATATTGCATTGCTTCCCTAGGAAAGGAACAAAACTAAGAAAGTAGCAACTAAGAGTGCAGGAAAAAAACTCTTCCCAAGTTCAGGGCAAAGGTTGAAGCCTATGGCATAATAATAGCCAATAGGTTCTCCATGCTAGTGCCTTACACATGATTTCACTTAATCTTGACTTCAACCCTGTAATGGGGGTACTATCCTGTTTTATAGAAGGAAATTGAGGCTCAGAGAAACCAAGTAATCTGGTCAAGACTTTATGATAAGTAAGGGGTAGGCTGATTCCCAAGCCCCCATTCTTACTCCTGTAGTCATGATACCTCCCCGTTTCTGCCCTTGAAGGAACATCTCCTTCTCTTTCCTGCCATTCTTGATTGTCTTGTCTTTCCCCTTAATTTCCTCTGTAAACTTGGAAATTATACACATCTGACAGAGCAGAGAGGACTACTAGTTCAGCACTGACTTATAGTGGCCCTCAACAAATACTCGTTAGATGGGTGGATGGATGGATGGATTGATGACTTTACCAAGAGAGCTGTGATAAGGTACTTGCCCAAGAACTCCTGAGTTTTCTGCCCTACCTCCCCAATACCACCTCCCACCTTGCTAGATGGGTAAGAGGCTAGACCAGAATGACCATGTGTCCCAGTTTGCCTGGACTATTGAGTTACTCCTATTGGCCAAGCTTGGTGTTAACAGCATCCCTTTCACGCTCAGAAGTGCCCCGTTCTGAGTGATAAAGTCTGCATTTAAGCAGGAGATTTGGGAACTCATAAGGGTAGGCTCTGACAAAGCTAGCATAAAGTTATGGCCTACCTCTCCCCACCGGTACACCTCCTGGGAAGGGAGTGCTGGATAATGTGAGACAGCTGACGTGCTGGATAATGTGAGTGCTGGATAATGTGAGACAGCTGAGTAAGGTGGGCCCAGCACCAACTTACCACCACTCTCTGAGAAGGGGGTTGAGCCTTGGGACTCACCCCAGACTGTCATCATGGAATGGCAATAGAATAGGGATGCTGGAATAGCCCACCTGAGACAGCTCCACACCCAACACCAGACTGCTGCCCCAAAATCCTCTGAGGACCTCAGAGAGGCTCATGCTCCCATCCAAAAGTCTTCCCAGGAGCCTTAAGTGGGAAGCAGACTTGAGGGAACCAGCTATGCAAGACGGTGGCAGGGGTGGGGGGTGGCGGGGGCAGCTTAGTGACCAGACCAGATCCAGAAACACTACATAAGCCCTCCAGAATCTTAAATGCATCCTTTCCACTCCTTCACCCACCCTTAGGAGAAAAGGAGGATAATCCTGATAATAAGCTTACGCCTAAAATGATAGAAGCCACTGAGTTGACTAGGTAAAACTAGGTATGACTAAATTCAGCTTTCCACGTTAGACAGAATTGGGCTCAAGGTAGAAATTAAGTTGTTACAGAAAATAGAAAGAGGTACATTTTTGTACCTCCGACTTTTGTAGCCAGTAACACTTATTTCTAATACTGTAATTTTTAATGATTACAGTTTTCTATTTTATACTATTTTCTACTGTAATTTATTTAACTAATTTCCTATCACAGGATGCTCGGGTTATTCTAACTTTTCGTTACTATAAAGGACAAAGACCTTAGTATGTGCATATCACTAATTAATTAAACCTGTGCTAACCAGCTACCACGTCATGAGGTCACTTGGGCAACCTATGGGCAACCTTGGGCAACCTTGGGCAACCTATGGTCCACCTGGCAGGGAAATGAGGCCTCTTGCCCACAGCCATGAGGGAGTCAGTCAAAGCAGATGGTGCAGCCCCAGATGACATCTCCATTCAGCCTATTAGAGACCCCAAGTCAGAACCATCCAGCTAAGCCTTTCCCAAATTCCTGCCCATATAAATCATAAGATAATACGTATTTATTAAGCCACTAAATTTTGGATAAATGTGTTATGCAGCAATAGATGTGTACATTATGTATAATACATACATATACATATATATGTATAATATATATACACGCACGCACATACACTTAAATTAATTCCTAGAAATAGAAAAATAGGATTGGTGGGTCATAGGATATGATCTTTTCAAATGTTCTAAATATTCAATTGTCAAATCACTTTCGAGAAAGCTTGTACCAATTTATACTCTGACCAGAACGTATGAGAGCGCCCATTTTCAGAATACCTGCCTATGCTTGGCATTATCTGTTTGGTTTTTAAATAAACACTGGAATGGAGAGGAGAAGATAGCTTCTTATCTGTACAAGCAGCCTGTTGAACTACATTTTGCTGCAGTGTGTCTCAAAACTTTAGAGAAGACATTCCTGGAAACAGATGCTCATAGGATTAGAATGAGGTCTCCCTCCTCTCCCAACCAGCAGGCCTTGCGCTTAGATCCTTAACTAAATAGGAAGTGTCCCCAAGTTGCCATACATAGGTAACCACTCCTTAGTAAATGCAAACAAAAGGCTTGTTTTATTACACGATCAGAACACTGGATCTCTTGGTGACGGTGAGGTTTTGTGTTTTATTTAATTTTTGATTATATATGGAAAACAGCTTCCCAGCATGTGCTCTGGGTATGACTCAATTGCTGAGAACATAAGGCACTGCTTTCTTCCCTCATCATATCCCTTTCCCCTCTTTCATCTATGCATCGAACAAAGCTCTCATAGAAAGCAATAAGATCCACAAGTGCATATGAGATTGGATGTGTGTGTTGGTGAGCAGGTGGGGAGCTGAGATGATGAAGGGATGGGAATAAGTAAAACTCATAAAATTTACTGAGTACATTAAGTTGGCAGGTTATACTTATGAAATCCTTCTAGCATATTTAAGAAGTCAGCCTAATAATCCTAGTCTGTTTCCACATCCTCTTTGGAAAAAAATGAATACAGCAAAATATAAACTAATGAAACTTTATATATTTGGAATTTCCAAATGCTATCATTTCATATTGGCTTCAAATTTTTACATCATGAAATAAATAAAAATTACTCATAGTTAAATGGCCTCTGTTCTCCTCCCTGATCCTGTTTACTTCCCTCCTTCCCCAGAGGTAAGCGCCATCATGAAGCTGATGTTTTTCCTTTTAATTCTTCCTTTATTTTCACGCTGATAAACAACTTACATTATTGCTTTGTATAAGTTTGTATGCTTTTGCACTTCTTCAACTTGTTTTATTCACTCAGCCAGGGCCACAGCTCTGTTGCTCAAGCTGTAGACCACACAGCTCCTGAGGACTCCATTCACAGACCACTGTGAGAGTGGCTCCCTGGGGGCTGTGCAGTACGGTAGCCCTGCATTCCACTTTTTTTAAGATATATGCTGATGCATGATAGAGCTTGCATTAATTTTAATTACCCTATTGTTTTCATCATGTCGCCATTCCACATTTTATTTATTGGTTTCCTTAGGGGAAGACAATGTTTTGCTATTGCACAGTGCCGGCGAACATCTTTATCTGTGTCTTCTTACGTATAGGTACCCAAGTTTCTCTGGGGAATCACCATTCTTTATGCCAGGGTGACTAATTAAAAAAAAAATTATCATACTGAACATCATAATAAGAAAAAGACAAATTTGGTAAAACTTGAAATATTTATTAGTAGGAATCAGTGTGTGTTAAACCAAAAATAACAGATACAATTGGGCGATGTTGTGGCGATGCTTTACTACAGAATACAATGTAGAAAGGTCCTGTCTACAGTGGCATCTTCTATATGTGAGAACTGGGTCCAGCCCAGACAGAAGCCCTTTATAAAAACACGAGAGAAAGGAGCGGTTTACACAACAGAGCCCTGACATTGGATCACTGGGTCTGGTTCCAACAATAATGATTAAAAGAGTAAACTCGATACCTAACAGGTCTGAATACAGCTCAGAGTCCTTTCTTTCATAAGCCAGCTCATTATTCAACTCACTACAAGCATTGCAGAGCAATGAGAAGTGGAGTCCCCTAAAAGGAGCTCAATGTAGCCATCACATGCCATATTCTTTTATCTTAAGAGGAAATATTTCAGTCGTCCAAACCTCCTTCAGAAAATTAATTCAAATTTCATTGGGGCACAGCTCTTTGTTGGCTAAAGGTTAGTTTTAAGTCTTCGATCTTCTATAGGCTACAAGGTAATATCACATTCAACACACTAGTGTACCATTTTCAATTATAAAATGGCAAGTCAATTATGTACCTACATAAAATGTCTGACTCCACTGCCATCTTAGGGCTTTCCACTGGGAAATAATCCCAATAAGAACCCATGTCTATATTATATAACACACGGTCATGAGCCAAACTTAGCCAGTGAAACGGATTATATGTTGGCATAACAAATATGAAATCATATTTACACATATACATATACTGCACATGAAAGGGGGGGAAAACAGAGGGAAAGGAGCAAATTTGGTGAAATTATGTGAAGGATGCTACATCACATGAAACAACTTGACATTTTGGAGCAAAAGTAATATCCAGGCCATTACATAGTATTACTTGGTTATACTTCAATTGTTAGAACAAACAGAAAGTAATCTCAAGGCAGAATAAAGAAAGATAAGAAAGCCTGGACAAGGCTGAAGCATCTGTCTTCAGAGAAGACCCCATGTTTAAGTGAAGGCTTGTGTGCCCAAGTTCCATCTACTCTTTTCACCAGTTGCTCCAAGTAGTAATAATTATATACACTGTCATCTGACTGGCTTGAATAGTTAAAGCAATACAGAAAGGTAAAAGAGTGGTTTCACACCCTCATGTGCTTCTGAAATAAAACCATGGGCTCATTCGTGGGTAGTTCTCTACATGTTTATAAGACCAGCCATTTTATACAAGACAGAACCACTAGAGATCCAGCCTAAAGCTGTGTAACTCCACTGGGACGCATACCACCTTATCTAGGAAACCTGAGAGGCTGTCTAGAGAGAAACCCAGGTTCTCAGGGACAGCTTGATGAGGAAAGCTTCCAAAATAAGCCTGCATGTCACCTGGAAAATGTCATTTCAATTTTCATCCCAAATTTTTGAGCTTTGTAGAGGCATGATAATTGCTTGGCCTGCAAGCAGAATCATGTTAGCAAGTAATGTTAACAATGTGGAGATAACCCTAAAAACCCCTGTAAAAGCTCTACCAAGACATCCAAATGCCACTTGCTAACATTTTTTGAGGTACTTGTCTGGGAGAGCTCAGAGGCACTCTTGAACCAAATATAAGTGTTTCCAGCCTTCAAATTTTAAGGTTGTCAAACTACTCTTGCAAGCTGAGCAAAGCAGTAAGTAAGAAAATCAAATTGACACCGTATTCTTTTGTTAAAACAACAACAACAAACAAAAACACCTTAATCTGTGATTTCCATCTATTTTCTTGATTACTGTCCATGTAGAGAAGTGTAAACTTGGCCCTGGTCTCTCAAGGACTCTTTCTTTTTGTTGGGACTCGGTGTCACTATATGTGAAGAGCAAAGAGGGCACAGTCGTGGCAAGACATGAAGCACCAGCTCACATGAGTTACTCAAAGTTTGAGGTCTTTAATCAGCTGATGATCTCTCTGCTGGTTTTAACACTGTAAATTTTCAATAAATGTTTCTCAGCCCCTGAACATTTATGGCAAAGAAGGTACCGGCTGGACCATGCTGCACAATTAACCATTTCTGAGGCCATTCTGTCACAGTTCCTTAACCCCAACAAAAGGCACGATTCCAAATCTTAAGAATCACCTCCCGATATAAGACCTAATAGGACCCCACACACACACACACTCATACTGCTTCTTGATTTCCAGGTTTTTATGAAAATTAAAATGGTAATAGGATTTGAATTTAGAATAGAAATAGTTTTTCTTCCTCTTCATGCCTTTTCTCCCTTTACTGCCTTTGCAGTCAGACATCTTTAATTAATTGAGCAGACAGGGTACCTGAAAAGGAAGGTTTTATCACAGCCTAGTCCCAGTTAATTGGCATCCCAAAGTTGGAGTCCTCATTAGCCCTAAGATCTGCCTCCCCAGGCTTGGCATCTCCTCAAATGCTTTCTCTGATTGTGCTGTTAGAGGTCTAGAATCTTAAGGTGCTGGGACTTCCCTTGGCTGGCTTTGCAGTAACCTGTTATTAACTGCTATTAGAAGTTTGCCCTATGATATAGACTTAAATGTCCTCCAGTTAATTTCCCCCTTAGACGTGACACTATCACAAATTCTTAGTAAAATAATACTCTGTGCATTAAAACCTCTCTAAGAGAGTAGGGATTTATTGCTGTGGAGGTGATGCATACCAAATGGTCTCTGGAATAATATTTACGTCCTACATCTGTCACCGCTTATACAGTGACTTTAAACGACTCTTCCAAATTAGGCCTCCCACTCCCAAAATTAAATGCAATATTTTTAGCCAGATTGGGCTTGTTTGTTTATAATGATCAAAACTTGGAAAAATGTTCATCAAGTAAGAGTCGGAGATATTGACAACAGTTTCTAATACATCTTTCTCCACTTTTATAAAAGCTCAAGTCCACAGCTTGAGTGATGATCCAATTATGCTCCAGTGAAAGGCAAACTAAATAAAATTAAATTAACCTTTCAGTGAAGGCTGGTTAGTCAACAGAAGCAATGGCGCTGAAGAAGTTACTGGAGTTTGGCTAGGGAACACAGGAAATCAGAGTGGAACACCACTTTATAATCTCACACACATAATAAACCAGTAAAATTTTTGTACAAATCGAGAATATTCTAAGGTTTAACAAAAACTCAACTATACTTATTACCTAACATCCATTCCCTCCCGTGTGCATTTCATGCACAAAAGGCGACGTGGTGAATTTTTCCAGAGTTTTCTCAAATCCTTTTCCGGGGACTTTTCCTGCCCCGTTCCCTGTGGGTCTTCCATGATGCCAAGCCAGTGTGCTCACTTCTCTCTAAGTGAGGCGCCAGGCCACTAAGATTAGGGGGTCCTTCAGCAGTGCATGGGGAGGTGACTCTGGCTTCTTCAAGTACAGTGGGCCGTGACCCCTGGTCAGCAGCACCGCCGGCTGGCTTGCGTAGCTTGCTTCCCAAGCTTCATTGCTCCATTGTTTCCATTTTCATGGGGGTCCAAGGGTGGGATCTGGCGACCTGGAACAAAAAGAAGGCCAAAGCTGAGTTCCTTTTTACCAGTGGACACCACACACAGATTAAGACCGAGCCTCAACAGCTCCAGGAACGGTTGTGTTGTACGGAAAGTGGAGTGGCTCCAGGAGTAACTCTCCCTCCCTCCCGCCTTTCTACTTCCTTCCTTTGTTGCTCTGCTGAATAAAGTCAAACCCTTGTTTGGAAAGTTAAGGAAAAGAAAAATCAGCTTCCTGATAATACAGATTTCCTTGGATTTGGAACCTCTTGCTTCTGAGTAGAGGGGAAAGTTCTCACCCACCTTCTCGGCACAAGCATCAGCCCACTGTTCTTCCCCAGCCTTTCCGCAGATCTGTCGCACTGGAAAGAGCTGCTCCGCAGCACCCCGCCTTCAGTAATAACAGTGCATACTCATCTTTTCTGCTTCTTAAAATAGAACTGGATTGGGAATTGTAATCTTCCTCGTAATATCACTTATTAACACTTAGCTCCCCATCCCTCATCTTGCCAATGCACTTAGAGCATTAACAAAAGTCCCGAGAGATACTCTTCACAGGAAACTATTTTAATGTCATCCACAAGTAATCTTATTTTTACTTAATTTAATTTTAAAAATTATCCTAGCATCTCTGTAAATAAACACAAAATAAGAATTTAAAATGCAATGCAGGGAGACAGAGAGGTGGTAGCTAAAGGATGTGGGGGGTTCATTTTTAGGTGATAAAGATTCTAAAGCTGACTAAGCTGATAATGGATGATGGTTGTATATATCTGTGACTAGATGAAAAACCATTGAATTGTATACTCTAAATGGGTGAAATGTATGGTATTTGAGTTTTTAAAAATTAATTGTTATTGGTATACAATTGACATATAACATTATATAAGTTTAAAGTGTATACAACCAGTTGATTTGATACATTTATATATTTCAATATGCTTACTACCATAGCATTAGCTAACACCCCTATGATGTCACATAATTATCATTTCTTTTTTGTCATGGGAACAATTAAGATCTAGTCACTTATTAACTTTGAAGTTTATAATACAGGATTGTCGTCAATATCAGATATGTGAGTTTTATCTTATTAAAGTTATGTTGCCTTTTTAAAAAGGCAATGGAATCTGGAAATCACAAATATTTGTTTATAATCTCAAAATTTTCCAATTTTTTTCATAGGCACTATCCACATTTAACCCCGTGAAGTTAGTGGATGGCTGTTTTCATCACTATTGTACTAGGCCTCAGAGAACTTAGGTTAGGTGCTGAAGCTCACATTGATAATTAGTGGCACAGGTGGTTCTTTGTAACTTACATCTTGATTTTTCTGATGGATTCCAAAGCCTGTGTTCTTTTCACTATACCACATTAGCTCTCTATGCTACCTTTCTATCTCCTAAGAAAAAAGCATGAAACCTAGCTCTAAAATAAGGATTTTTTTAATCAGCTAATTAGCATATCAGTTTAGTAAGTAACCAGCAATTAGAAATGGAAGGGAAATAGTTCCAAAGACAAAGTCCTTTAGTGCAAGTGGATATTACCTAAAGACCATAAAGAGTCAAAATGCCCTGAGAGAGGTGCATTTCCACAAGGGGCAGAAACAGTTCATTTCAAAGATATCAATGCATTGTGTAGACTGGGTGGTGTGGCCATTCACTAAAGCTCAAGCATAACAATTAAGGTCATTGGCAATCATCCAAAATTCAAAATTAATGACTCTTCGTCTGATTATGGAGCAGATGGGAACATTGTAATAATTTCTGCAGCTATTGCTTCTGCCATTTCATATGGCCAACAAAACTATACAAAGCTTCTGCTGGCCATTCTCGAAAATGTTCACTCCTAATCCCAAAGCAAATGAGAGCACACGTATGTGTTTTCCTCTTCTGGACAGGCTGTGTTCTTTTATTAGTCAGAATTAAAAGGAAGTAAACAAAATGCTCCTACTTTGTCAATTTAAGTGATAAAGAGAGGAAAAGTTCCCAGTGACTACCCATATTCTGACTTATCTAGGTCACATCTCACTGGTCAAGTGTTACTCCTTGAAAGAAAGTGATGTGTTTTGGAGGGATGATAGTTTCAAGTTTTATCAATATTTAAGTTACTTAAAATAATAATATTTTAGGTGCCTCTCGAGTGTGTTAGGTACTGCAATAGGAACTTTTGCTTTTGCATCTGAAATAATTTTGGACAAAATTATAATTCTGCTTGGTGCAAGCTATTGCCTTAGTTAACTAAGACAAGCACTTTACCGATCAGTATTTTTGGCAATTATCAAAATCACTATCTATACTAGCATCGACTTCATGCTATTCTTATGTTGTTAATTCTAACATAAGTATCCCAAATATAGAAAAACTTTATACATAAGATATTTATTAAAGTCACAAAAGTGGGTAAAAATCTGAAAACAAAGAGCATACAGAAACAAAACGGGAATGCTAGGGCAGTCCATCAGCACCCCTCCTTGCTCTCCCCTTCTCCCTTCCTCTTTCCCACCCCTCATTTCTCTAAGCAGACAATAAGCAAGACAATAAGACAGTGTTTGAGATGCAAGATTAAGACCTGATTCATGCCTCAAGGAGACTCCCCTCTTATTCACTTTAAACTGTTATCGATGTTTTTGAAACAGTTGTTGAATCTGGCTTCTTAGAGGCACCAGGTTCTTTTTATCTCCAGCATATTCAAAATCTCACTTATTAGGACAAAACATTTCTCAAAAATCAGAATTACTGCAATTTTCTCAGACTTCATTTTGCTCATCCGACAGAAAAAATTTTGAAATCTGAGAGTCAGTATTCCAGTTACATGAACTTGGTCAAGTTACTGAATACTTCCAAGATTTCCTTTCCTCACCTATAAAAAGATGAGAAAGTAACTTGATGACTACTATACAATATAGATATATGGCTATCACTACTGTGGAAAGAACTAGTGACAATGAAGAGTCATGGTTCTGGGCACTGCTCAGGTGAAGTTTGCAAGGGGAGAAGTCCCTGCCTCCTGGCTCACAATGGTTGATACTCAGGGTTCAGTTACCAGGATTGAAGCCCCTGCTCCTCTACAGAACACTCGACTTGGGAGGTGTCTCACCCATTCCAACTTCAAACAGTGAGAAGAAAGGAAGTACTTCCACTTTAAGGCAGAGAGAGGAAAGCAGGGTTATAACAATGAGGCAAGCATCTTAAAAAGAGAAGGAAACAGGGGCCAGGGGGAGAGTGAAGTGGGTAAGGGGATCAAATATATGGTAGCTGAAGGAAACTGGACTTTGGGCGGTAAACACACAATAATAGATGTCAAATTATAATGTACATCTGAAAATTATATAATTGTATTAACCGACGTTACTCCAATAAACAATAAAAACTGAAAAAAAAGAGAGAGAGAGAGAAGGAAACAAACAGCACCGTGAAAACACAAGCACTCAGGATCTTGTGGTCTGAGTGATTTCCAACTTACCGAATAAAAGTTAAATGTACTTAGACAAAAGAATAGTTCCAGAAAATGGCCACAGTGTTTTGTATCAAGGTGATCACCTTGGAGCACTGTTGAATCAGTATTAATTACATGAGGCATAGAACAGGACAAATATGTATACACAAACAAATGAAAAGGCTCCAAGCATCGTTGGCATGTTTCCACTCTTACAAAATGTCCTCCGAGTATGCAATCTCCATAACAAGTCATTCTTGAGTATAAATCTTAGGCCAGGGTGTTTATTTTAATAAGGTTTGGATTGTGTAAGATTCTGTTTGGGAAAAGTTATGACTGTTTTTTGAAATTCAGTTTTCCTGAAAGTTGACAGCCGAGAAAAAAAGCAGGTTTTATAAATGGTTCCTCAGGAATGCAGTATGTGGGGGAAAAAAAGTCCAAGTCTATAAATTTTATCATGGCTCTGGAGGCTGTAATGCTTTTACACACAACAAAAATAATCTAGCATGCTTCGCTGCAGCTGTTCGTTTTCCTTGTGTGGTAGACCCGCCATTTCCTGCATGAGCTTACAGTCCTCCCTGACCATTTCGCTGTTTACATACTCACCTTTCACTCCAGTTCCAGTATTTACTTGGCTCCCTATCTTTTGTTGAGTATTAGTGGTGCTGGCAGTCGCTGTTTAACTTCCATTTCTTGATCCTGATTTTCTGAATCATTCAGAAAATTAACCAAGTTTGTTAGGATTTGACAGTTTTTACTCTTGATAATGACCTTCAACCCTCTTCATTTAGAGAATGGGTCTCTACAGAACATTGTAGTGGCTTACAGTCGTGGAATATGGCCCTAAGAATACAGAATGGGGGCAGGGGGAGACACCCATGATTTGAGGTCACTTCCTGTAACTCCTTGTAAGAGGACAATATTGGAATTACTAGATGAACTTGGATATTAGAATACAGAGTCTAGACATGAGAAATGAGATAACATTCTATATAGGACCAGAATGGCTTAAGAGACAAGAAGCGAATTTAGTCAGAAGGCTTGCAGAAAGTCCAGGTCAGAGATAATGAGGGCCTTAATTTGGGTGTTGAGGGAAGTAGAAACCAAAGATGGAAACAGAATTATAGGAAGACACCTGGTAGATGTGACAACTGATTAGATATAGAAAGGCGAAGAGAGGAATTTAAAAAAATTAAAAGTCTAGGGGGCTGAAAGATGGTGATGTGCCAACAGAGAGAAAATTAAGGGGGAAGGTCTCCATTGGCTGATAGTGCAAAATGGCAAATGTCTTCAACATGGAGGGCTTGAGTGACTTCTAAAATCATTCAGCTTCCTTATTATTCAAAGGCATCTCGCCCGCCTCCTTTTATTTTTTTTCAAATTAATACACTATTTTTTTTGCGGGGGAGCAGTTTTAGGTTTACAGAAAAAAACTGAACATAAAGTATGGAGAGTTCCCATGTACTCCTCCCCCTCATCTCCAATTTCTCTTTTCTTAACATCTTGCATTAGTATAGAACATTTATTACAATCGATGAGCCATTATTGATGATTATCATTAATTAAAGTT